ATGCAGCATTATGAAGGCTACATTGTACCTACTGTGTTTGTGATGCAGATGTATAAATTGGCCTTAAGTCAGGATTATCTTGCTATTCTGCAAAACGGATAACATCTAATTGCAAAATTAATTGTGTAATCAACAGAATGAGTGAGACGAACCAAAACATTTACATTTTTTTTAGGAATATACTTACAATTTATACATCGACTAGCCTGATTAATTTATCAATCATTTTGTGACAAATGTGGTGCATTTCATGTAAACATGGTTCATAATAAGTGTTTATTTTATTCAGGCATTTATCAAGGTGAAATATTATCTTCTAAGTTGTAATTAAAACAGGTAATTGAAGAACATTTACAAGAAAATACCATTTCTTTTATTTTCGCCTTTTTAAAATTGGCATTAGCCTTTGAAAAGATTATTTGATTTGACCTCTAATCATCGGTTTTCCATCTGCATAGACTGTTTCACATCTATGTGTTCACTTATAGTCATATACGTCTCCATTTGTACTCAAAATTGAAACACTCAAGTAACTCTTTTTCCTTCTAATGTAGCTTTTCGTGCCATAAATGTCAGCGTTTTGCATTATTATGCCCGCCTAATTCCCGGCCAGGTCTTAAATCCAGGATTTGACCTGCCCTCTCGCTCACTCCTGGCTCAGAGGCCCCGAGATGGAAAGACTTTTGTTGGCATATCCGTCAGTCTCTCTGCAAACCCTCTCGAAGCCCTAGAGCTCCTAGCATAGAATTAGCCCTAGCTGTGTGGCTCCTCTTCCCTTCCCAGTGTGTTTGCCCCACATTTGTGTGAACAGGCATCTGACAGATCGCTCGGCCTGCCCCCGGTGAACCGTCGGGGCATGTTTTCATTCATTAATTATGAAATAGTCGCGCGATCCAAACCTACACAAAAACACACATGAAAGGGAAACATATTTTATGATGTATGAATATTACTTCCAGTTATTGTTACAGATGTCTTTATCATTAACCTTGTTAAAGTTGGCGTTCGTAGGCCAGGAGAGCCAAAGAAAATACTTCTGTGGGTTTTTGTGAAATATTCCACTTTCTATGGGCTTTGGTTCAGTGGCTTGTGTTCAAATACGAAAAGCAATTTAAAAGCGGTACAGCACCACGAAACGCTGATTGTCCAGATAGGGCCAAACAGAGGCCACAGACCAGGACCTGGTATAGTCTGGGTTCAGTGGGCTCTTAATCAGAGAGTGTGTGCACTGCAAAGTAAATCTTTTTCACAGCAAGAAAACCATTTCCCTTATTTTCAATCTTTATTTCTATAGCGCTTTTACAACGTAGATTGTGTCAAAGTAGCTTAACATAGAAGGTCTTGCAAATTGAAGCTCTCAATCTAGTTTCAGATTCAGTTCAGTTCAGTGTGCTTCAAATTTCACTGCAGAAAGTCCAAACATTGAAGACCAAATCCATTGATGGGCAGCTCTACAACCAAAACCAAGCAAGCCAGTGGCGACGAGGAACAAACTTCATCAATTGATGAAAGTAAAGGAACAAAACCTTGAGAGAAACCATGCTCAGTTGGGCACAACCATTTCTTCTCTGGCCAAACGTCCTGTGCAGAGCTGCAGTCTAGGGGCTGGAGGCTGGAGAACACTGGACGTCCATTGTGGAGAAGCTGCAGGTGTGAGTAGGCCACACCCCCACAGGATCAATGCGAAGACTTGTCTGTCTCTGGGGTCTGAAATCAGTCTCATGCTCTACAACTCATCCATGACCGCCACAGCTTCTGCTCAGGATACGGCCTGGTCCAAGATTATGGAGACCTTTTAGTCTTTTTACCTGTTCGTCTTTTTGTTTTTTTTTGATATCTTTTCTAGTACATATATTTGAACATTCTTAAAGCTGCAATGTGTAGATGATGTAACTCAAGCAATTTATAAATACAAATTCACTACTTTGAGGTGTATTTTTTGTTTACAATGTATATATTGCAATGCAATAAATATTTGATTATGAATGCAATATATAGGTCACTTTGCCAAATCACTCATAGCATGTTTCAGTTCTTTAAAAACATGATTACATATTGCAACACGGTGGCTCGGTTGATCGCTGGTTCGAGTCCCAACTGGGCCATTTGGCATTTCTGTGTTTGTATTTTCTCACCATGTTCGCGTGGGTTTTTCTTCGGGTGCTTTGGTTTCTCCCACAGTTGTAGGTGAATTTCTAAATTGGCCATAGTGTATGTGTGTCAGTGAGTTTGTATGGATGTTTCACAATACTGGGTTGCAGCTGGAAAGGCATCCGCTGTGTAAAACATATGCTGGATAAATTGGCGGTTCATTCCGCTGTGGCGACCCCTGGCGAATAAAGAGACTAAGCCAAAGGAAAATGAGTGAAGGATTACTTATTTTTAATTTTGAACCAAAATGAAAGGCATAATGCAGCTTTATATTTAAGACACGTTCATTTAAAATGAAATTGCTGTGAAGAATTGATATTAAGTCTTGTTTTCTAAAAAATAATAATAATAAAAATAAAAAAATCTGAAATAGTTTTAGGCATTTTTCTACTTCAGTAAATGTGTCTTAATTTCAGAATGTTTAGATATTTGCTCTAAAAACGTGGCAAAAACACTAGATATTTTCTCATTTTTCCATTAAAATTATTTCAAAAATAATATTTATACATTTTCTGAAGCTATTTACGCATTTTTTTTTTAAAATATATCAAATGTTATATACATTTTTACATCCACACGCATACCACTCTCCTTGCATGTTTATTTATGACATATTTTTGCTTATTAATAATGTTTTGAGCTATTGGTCTATTACTCTTCCACTGAACACACACATTACCATATTTATATCCACTTCTCAAACTTCAGCAGATTGAATCATCAGCAGAAAATCATCCCAGTAATGCAGAAATAGTTGGGCCTGCCAATAGGGTAAGAAAAATAAACAGAACTGTTACACTCTCGATTATCAAACGATGATTATCTTAGTATCTTAAGCCAGTTTGTTATGTTATGCAACGTTTCCTTCTCAAGTTCTTATTTTAAAGGCCTTGAAATATTTTGCTGGAAAACAAGACCAAAATAGTGATTATGGTAATTGATAATCCACGAACATGCTCCGGCTCCCTTTATTAATCTTTTCCTTCTCTCTTTGTCGCACGCTGTTTGAATAATTAGTCCTCTTGATGAGAGTATATTTTTGTCTTTTTAAATCATTTGAAGGAAAATAAACCATTCGCTGGCCACATTAGTGTGTGTTTCCTGTGTATGTGTGTGTGTGTGTTTTAGCCAGTTAAAGAGGCACCTGCTCATGCTGTGGCATATTTTCCAGCTTGGCATTGCCAGCATTAAGGAATCCCTCTTCCCTTCTCTCGTTTCTCCACATCCCCATGGCCAAACCTCTACGGAAATCATTTGGAAAAAGGATTTGAGCATTAAAGATAACCACACCTGTGATTATCATTAGACGGAGGTGCTGTAAAACGTTAAATCCCTCTCTTTAGTTTGAGTTTCTTTTAATGAGTGGAAAATTAAACCTTTCGGGCAAATTCCAAGTGTTGAATTTTATATAATGATTTAAAAAGAAGTGCTCGCTGAGGTGATTTGTTTTCAGTGCATAAGTGAAACAGAAGGACCCTCTTACTGAAGGTCAAAGGGTCTCGATCCACATGAGCTCACATCTGCATCATCAGTTGGCTCATTCTCTGTCATTTTCAGGCTGTTAAACAGTTCTCCGGTTGCATGTTGCCATTGAGTTTCAACACTAAATCTAGTCTAGTGTGCTGGATGGTCCATAACCTGCTGTGTTTTAATGTAATATTAGTGTTACTATTTTGTCAAGATCAAGGGCTTTTAGCTTGTTGTTAAAGGGATCGTTCACCCAAAAATGAAAACTATGTAATCATTTACTCGCCTTTCATTTGTTCAAAACCTATTTGAGTTTCTTTTGTGGAACACAAATAAAGTTATTTTGTAAAATGATAGTTGCTGGTAGGCATTGACTTCCATTGTAATTTTGTATTCCTACTATGGAAGTTGACGGGTTCCAGCAACCAGCATCTTCTAAAGATAGATGAAGGAAGACGTTTTTGGCCTGAAAACAATTGAAATTCATAGTAGGAAAAACAAATATCGTAGTTACCTTTCCATCCACCTATTTTTATGCGGATTTTTGGAAATGCACATAAAAAAATGGTTGATGTAAATGCCAAAATGTGCATAAATTGTGAAATTAAGCATAAAAAACATATGTGCATAATTGAGTGGGATAAACTTTTTATTCAATATGAAAAAATGCCATAAATTACAATAGAAACACTTTTACTGAACAAATTCCAGTATGTGCATTAAAAAAAATCATATGGTTTTGTTTTAAGAGATTATGTGATGATAAAAATGTGTGAGAATGGACAAACCAGCAAGCTGAGCACATTGTAAAACATCAGAAATGTTGTTTTGGTCATTCTAAAGCACCTTATGTGTTTCAGTATTAGTGTTATTATATTATTAATGGCCTCCAGAATATTTAAGAGTGTCTGTGCTCCGCATCTCATGCCTTCAAAGGCCACCACGCATTAATTGCATGTTGCCATCGTCTTCTAAGGCGCAAGTCATTTATTAAATAAAGAAAAGCTTCATGCAGCTTCTCCTACCCCAGCATATTACATTTTTACTGTTGATATTTGGCACCAGTTATCAGGAAGTGACGATTTTGTTCTCTTTGACTCGATGGATGGAAACGCTACTTTTAAGTGATATTTAAATTTTGCGCATGAAGTTAATTCATATTTTTGGATGGAGACATAGCTTATGAATGTCAATGGTTAGGGTTTTTCCCCAGTTTTCAAAATACCTTCTTTTGCGCTTAGCTAAAGATAAACTCAAAAAGGTTTGTAACAAGAAGAAGGAGAGTAAATGATAACAGAATTTAGATTTTTGGGTGAACTGATGATTTAAGATGATAGAAATATCAAATGTTCATAAACGCTTTATTCTGTTTGGTTTTACAGCTGGAATCTGAGTTGGAGCAGTGCGAGCGAGAGAGTGCCGAACTGCAGGAATACGCAAACTCTGTCCTGCAGCAGATCGCCGATCACTGCCCGGACATCCTGGAGCAGGTGGTCAATGCTCTGGAGGAGTCATGCTGACCGGACTGCAGAGCCGAGCCCTGCCGCCTCCTCTCTTCCCGCTTCTTCTTTGCTTTGATGTCACAGTATGCAAAAAAAAACACAAACTCTCTCTCACCTTCACCCCGATGCACAACTCATAGGACAGACACATGCGGGAGAGACTGACAGCTCACAAGTCAAGTGCACGCTTGGATTGGGTTTGAGGTGTGGGAACGGTAAGCTGCCATCCCCTACCACCACATCCATCCTCTCTGCACCCTCACATAAACACGGGGAAGAGGAAACCGAAAGAGGGGAAACGAGCGGCTGAAAGGCTCAGTATTACAGGACATGTTCATTTATTAAGATGTCTGTCTCGGAAAGCCGTCCTGCGGGAGGTGCCGTTCTCTCTGTGAGGGGCAGGAAATAGTCTCCTTATCTTGATATACACGATTGCCACAGCTTTTAAAAGCTGCAGGATTTTGAAACCGTTTTGAAGCAATTTAGATTTTTTTTTCCCCTCCCCCTCTTTTTTCTTGTAGATGCTTTGTTACTGACGTTAAATTATGGGTCATTCGCGCAGGGCAAAACTCCTGCACTTTCAGAGCATCTGGTTTCACTCAAAACTTGGTTAATGCTCCAGTTGTGCCAGCAGACAGTCCATGCGGACTTTAACATACTTTTACTATCGTAGTCAGTAGCGGGTTTAGATTACTGCAGCCCCCACCATCTGGGAATTTACTATTGACTTGGTTGCTGGCCGATTTCCTCCTGAAGTCTCATACATAAAAGTTACGAAACGGACAATATGGGTAATGTTATCCCGCATGCACCTGTCACCAGCTAAAGAAACCACAGCCCTGGTTTGTGTCTGTTAAAGGTGAGAGGAAGAAAATTATTTGCCTTGGAAGTTGTAGGTTTATTGCTGCTAACATTTGTCTTTGCATATGGCAGGTTTTGGTTTGGTTATGTTTTTCTTTTTCTTTTTTTCCATGGCCGGCTCTCTGATGCCGAGGGTGGTAAAACAGAGGCTTTATTCCCGACACAGATGTTGTGGAGGCAGAAGTGCCTCATCATCAGAACGCAGCTGCCACACATCACTGGAAATAGGAAAATAGGCACCTATCACTCATTCCCTACTCCCAAAACTATGTGGTCTCACACTGGGATGAAGACTGGCAGTAGTTTCGCAGTTTTCCAAAGCAAAGAGTGCAGATGTTTTTATTTCACAGATAAGGTCGAATACAAGTAGTTGATTAGATACCCTCTTCTTTATACCACTCTCTCTTTTTCTGGAACAGATGCTAGTTGATTTTTTTGCGGTTGCTTTTTTGTGAGATATCATCAAGCTTTGATCCCAGCGTACCATCATGCTCATCTTTCTCTCTGCTTGGCTTCATATCTTCATCCTCAGACCCGGGCGTCTCTGTTAGCACAGCCGGCAGGTGTATCCTCTTACACTTTATGGTTATATGGGTCTATATCCATTGGCACTAGGTGTCCGTCTCTGGACCGGCCACAGGAGTGATAAGACTCAACCTTGTTCAACTGCTGATAAACGTGGTTGCTTCATCTTTAAAGTCCAGAGTCGACTTCTCCTCCCGCTGCCCCTGTGGATGACACTGGGCGTAACATGCCCTCTGCTCCTCTCTCTCTCTCTCTATATATCTCCTCATCCCTCCCTCATTCATGCCTGTGTGTAGTTTATGGCTCTGACCTGCTGTGCTGTGTTAGTCATACTCCTCTCCGCACGATAAGCCCTCGACGGACAAGACAAACAGCACGAGATCACAGCAAATATAATCATCTCCCTCTCGCACGCTCCCATATCAACACTCCACCTCTGCTCATCTCCGTACTCACTAGAAAACGCCACGTGATGCCAAATGTTTGCTTTACCCGGATTTGATTGACCTCTGAGTCACTCTGTGAGCTACTGATGTTGTGCCTATAACTAGTACACATCTTGTCCTCCGGAGGTTTCCCAGCAAACAATTTTGTATTTATTAGATGTCTAATAGACATCTAAACATAGACAGCTTGGGTAAAACAAGGCAAAACTTGGGCTGTCAGTGAAAATCTAATAGACATCTAAAAAGAATAGCCTAAATTAGACAGATAAGACAGACTTCATGTGTGTAGTCATTCATTTCTGTTTATTTGATGGTTAGTCTAGTCTAGTCTACTAGATTTTCACTGACAGCCCAAATTTAGCCTTGTTTTAGCCAAGACGACTATTTTTGGATGTCTATTAGTCAACTAATAGACCTCTTTTAAAAACAAAACATGCTTGCTAGCTTATGTTTGTTTGTCTATTGGAATGATTCAATTATAACAAGTGTTTTGGAGAAGTTGGGTGAATCTCATGAACATTCTAGGTTTCTTTTTACCCGAAATTCATAAGAAAAAATACATATACTGCTATAGGGTGACCACAAAGCATTTATTTCCTCTTAAACATCTGAAATTTTAATTATTGCAGCATTACTTTCACTAAACAAAGCATTGTCATGATGCATTATGTTAATGAACTTTGGTGTAAAATATGCTTAATTGCAATGAATTTCTGCATTAAAGTAATGAGAATTGGCATAATATATTATCATATTAGCGAAAATTAGTAAAAAATATGCTTAATAGTAATTGTTTGTTGCAGTAATGATGACTAATGGAAAATTTGTTCAACTGTAATGGATTATTTTGTATTGTGGTATCGAGAATTGGTGGAAAATAAGCTTCCAGGACTCTCAGAAATAAAGGTACGTGAGATGTCACTGGGGCGGTAGCTTTTGAAAAGGTACAAATTTGTATCTGAAAGGTCCATTTTAATACCTCAAGGGTACATATTAGTACCTAAAAAGTAGAAAAGTGTTCCTCTTTAAATTTTTAGGTACTAATATATATATATATATATATATATATATATATATATATATATATATATATATATATATATATATGAGGCACCAATATGGACCCTTCAAGTACAAATGTGCGCCTTTTAAAAAAGGTACCAACCCAGTGACAGCTTGTACACTTTTATTTCTGAGAGTGTTTAATTCTTATGGATTTTTTGCAGAACTGTAATGACAATATGTGAAAAGACTTAGTTGACATGACAGTTTTAGCATTATGGTAATGGGAATTTGTTGAAGATATGCGTTATTGATGTGATTTTTTTTTTTTTTTATGCATAATGGTGAGAGAAGCTCCTAATTTGTTGCATTGCGGTAATGAGAACTTAAATGCTTCATTATAATGAAAGAATGTCTGTTTGAGTTTATCCCGACATGACCTCATCCTGTTTTAAGAGATTCACCCAAATCCTTTAACACCTAACTAAGCCTTGGTTTAACAATATATTCCCACGCTCACATGGGCAGTGCCCGCAAAGCACTTGTTCGCGTGCCATTCTCACCCTTGGCACCATATATCTTATTGCCATCATATAGATTGCATCTCTCTAAAGCATTTTATGGTTTTATGCTCTTAATTACCACTGATGGACTTCCTCATGAGGACATAAATGTGACGAGCAGCTCTGTTGGGCTTTTAAAAGCAAACAGCTGATTGATGACACCCATCCTGTTTTTCATCTCCGTCGCTTTCTATCTCATTCACGCACAAACACAGTTTTGGCTGCTGTCTCTGAAATATGGGGCTCAGTTATCTACACCCTGGCTGAATCTCCCCACTTAGACTAAACACAGACCCCTCACGCGCACACACACTCACTATCACAGACCCTCGCAATTTATGTCCTTCAGTACAGGAGCTGGCCTCTTACCGCTCCGCTTAGAGCACTCCGGAGAATTCCCTAAGAAAACAAAAAGGAGGAACGCTTGTGATAACCGGGAGCAGATCAGAGAAGGAATGACCCGGCGCTTTGCAGAGGGTGTTATTGTGTGTTGAGTGAGTGTCTCTCTGGAGCTCTGGTATTTGTGTGATTGCTGGTTATAGGCAAACCTAATCACACAGAAGACTATGGAAATTCCCTGCAGGCTTTGGATCGCTCCATATGTTTGGAGACTCCCCTGTTTCAGTGAATCCTCCTTGTGTTTTTAAAGAATTCACCAGAGTTTTCAGCTCGGTAGCTAATTAACAGAACTATTTGGATATTCAGCAGCACCCATTTTTAATGCAAATGTACTCATAATACTTTAAAATGCTGAGTAATCTTGTTTTACACATTATAATACTTGCTTATTCATGATTACATCTTTGATTACATAACAAAAAAGTTATTTTCTCAAGTAATTTTGATAAAAATATGTTCACAATTCCTAAATCGACATTAATGTACTTGATCAGCGGACTGACTGTCTAATTTGTCTGAAAATGGGGAAGGAAATGTTGGATTTGAGATTATTTTACTTGCACCGTTTGCATTTTTTCGATCATTTCAAAGAGTAAATTCATTTAACTTGGAGAATTTTCTTATAAAACAACACACCATTTACATCTCAAGTAAATTAATAATAAATTAGCATCATTTAGTTACAAATTCTGCAAAATAAGCTCAAAATTCTTGAGTATGAGTATGATTTTTGTAGCACAACATGCATTATTAACTTGCAGTTTGGCATTTATCGTGCATTAAGAAAGATGTAATCATTAGATAAGTATTATAGTGTATTAAAACCCTCCCTAAATACTGATAAAGGCATCTTTAATGTCATTTAAAATGTATTAAGAATACATTTATGCATCATATAGGCTGAATTTGCCACTTTTTTTTTTTTTTTTGTCCGATTTTTTTTCAGTAAAGCACAGTTTTTCTTGAATTCACCTTAAAAACTCACCCTATATAACCCTATTCAGGCTTCATAAAAGTCTATTTAATGTTTTTGTGGGGGGGGTGACGTGATGGTGCATAACCGGTTATAGTATATATTTAACTTGCACATCACTCCCTTAATTTATAGAGAAGCAAATCATAGGATGTGGTCAGCTGACTTTCCATACGGTTTGGCTTTTGACATCTACCTGGCTTGAAACTGCGTTCAGCCATGTGAGTGTGAATGAGCATGAGGTGTTGCTTCGTGTTCTAGTATGGACGTTTTTCATCCTCATTAAAGTCAGCGAGGCATATCTGTGGAGAGAGAGAGAGAGAAAGAGCAAGCATCGGGCGGCCTTATATTTTCCAGTTTTCCTGTCCAGATTTTTATTCGACCTTATTTCGTCCCATAGCAAGAAACATTTATCACTCTGTCTCTCAAATACTCTGATAAAGCAAATAATGGATGTCATCTGATTTTCATAGTGGGTGAGTAGTACTGCCATTCTTGCCTCCTCGATATAAAAAGA